CTCTCTCTCTCTCTCTCTCTCCCTCCCTCCCTCCCTCCCTCTCCGCTCATGCATGCACACACACCCTCTCTCTTAAAATGAATATTTAAATATTTTTTAAAAGGCAGGCAAAATTTAACTCTTCCAAAAGAAACACGATATGTAATCAGAGGTCGAAACTATGTCACGGATGCAAAATAATCACGATTCCAAAGAATCCCAGAGATCTAGCTCCCATGAATTACAAGGGGCCACCCAAGTACACAATTTCCTGTTGGAGCCGGATTTGTGTCCCCCAACATGCCGTCCATAGGGAGACTCTCCATTACACCTATTTTGAAATGTTTGGGGTTTTCCAGAAATCTCACTTAATCGGAGGACACAGAAGAATGAATTTACTTAATTGAACAACGCCAAGGCAACACCAGCCGCTGGGTTCTGGAACAAAAAATATAGTCGGTTGTATGTGGCTTTATTCCTTAGATTTCACACTATGTTAAGGAATCATGGGAAGACATTTTCAATATTTCACTACATTACAAAATTGTTTTACGTTTACTTATTTCATAAATTATACACGGGCAGCACATTTTAAAATGCCACAGGTGTCTCACAGTCACTCGGAAACACTTTTCGAGTAATTTAGGAGGCTCCATTCTATACTTGATCCGACAGATTTGCAGCAACAGGCAGTAATTGGCATAATTCATGCTCTGACAGACCCAGTCGCGGGGAAGGAACGTACCGAGATGCTTTCTTCTCGCCGATACAGCTTCCAGTTCCTCCCGCCATCACTGAACATAAGGACGTAGCCGGTCACCCAGTCGGAGCTCCCGTACCCTCCCTGGGTGGCCACAGCTGTGACCTCCATTCTCTCTCCGAGGTCAATCTGCAGCCACTGGTATTTATCTGACACGCGTGGAGACCAGCCACCAGCCCCTTTTAGTGGAAATGGAAACAGGAAAAAAAAAAAAAAAAACCAGTAAGGGGAAAGAAATCTTTGGGATCTATACTATCCTGTAAGAAAGGGATCATAAATAAAATTTATGAAAATCACAGTTTCAAATTCTGGAACATAGAACTGCTCTTAATTACACACACACACACACACACACACACATACACACACACAGACTCAAAACCATGGGTTAAGTAAATAGATGAATCCTACATAAATTACTTTGGTTTCTGGCTCATAACCCCTAAGTCCCCGGTGGTTCCCAATAAAGTGAAAGTGCTTAACGCAACAGGTGGATGGTTGAACCTGCCACGTCAACACTCAGAAGGGTGTTTCTTTACTTTATGTATGACCTACCCTTGGCTGGACCTAAAGGAAACTATTTAGACCATGATGGAACTAGAGAGACTTAATTCTGGAATGCCAACGTGAACAAGTACAGTATTACATATTGGGAAAAGGAAAGAGGCGAGGGCACAGTCCTACACTCGATATGCTCACAGATTCACGCGAGAAACAGACGTTTCAAAGAACGATTTGAAATGCAGCGTGGCGGGGGGGGGGGGAAGGTGAAGGTTTCTCTGTGCAGGGAGGGAGAGCCCTGAGAGGCAGCAGGGAGGTGCAGGGAGAGCCCAGAGCGAGTGACAGGCAAGGACTCTCTCAGGTTTGCAGACAACAGGTGCAGAACAGGAATCACGGCGCTCGGCTTTGTCCGGTGCCGATGAGAAACAGAAAAATTAGAACTACCCGAAGGCGTAAGGCTGACGTGTTTGGGTCTTCGAGATGCCTTCCGGAATTCATATTTTGCTACTTATCCATGTCTAGAAGACACGTGGGATGGAAACCATCCCTAATAGGACAAAAGTGGTTTGTTTTTTATTTTGCCCCACTGTTCTGACACCTGACTTGGGGTCCTCATGATAAGGTCTAATGCGTTAGACGACAGTTACTGTCTTCTCATCAGGAGCTCTGATTGACATCCACGCTCGGGATGCTAGAGCCACCAGGACTGGCTGTGTGTCAGGAGGGGCGTGACGTGGTCGCGTGGCACTCGGAGGGGAACAGAAGCGGGGCGCTTGCATCGGGGCGTGGGGGCATCACCAGGAGGTGAGCGCGTGCGCTTCCTCCCCGCACCTTCCACGAGCAGCACTCGGTGTACAACCTTTTAGCCAAGTCTAAAGCTTCCAAGTTCTTTAGAGCCCAGATCCTTTCTCAGATCTGCCTGTTTTCCTGCCGTGAATCTTTGCTCAAATACTGTACATTTTCCTCTCGACGTACCACAGGCGCAATGCCTTCTCCTTGGACTCAGAATCCTAAATACGCTGCGATTTCGGTTGTTCTGTAATGCAGTTCTGAACTTCTCATTCTGAAAGAATTTCCCATGGACAAAAGAGCCACAAACGTGGTACAGGGGATTCCTGTTTGCTTTTTACTCAATTTCCCCGACAGTTAACACCTTACACCATCATGGTACTTTTATCAAAACTAAGAGATTTACAGGGGCACCCGGGCGGCTCTTGATTTTGGCTCAGGTCGTGATCTCAGGGTTCACGGGGTCGAGCCCTACATCGGGCTCTGTGCTGACAGTGCGGAGCCTGCTTGGGATTCTCTCGCTGTCCCTCTCTCTCTGTCCCTCCCCCAAGCATGCTCGCTGTCTTTCAAAATAAACAAACATTAAAACTAAGATATTGGGGTGCCCGGGTGGCTCAGTCAGTTGAGCGTCCGACTTCGGCTCAGGTCATGATCTCACGGTCCGTGGGTTCGAGCCCCGCGTCGGGCTCTGTGCTGACCGCTCAGAGCCTGGAGCCCGTTTCAGATTCTGTGTCTCCCTCTCTCTCTGCCCCTCCCCCACTCGCACTCTGTCTCTGTCTCAAAAATAAATAAACATTTAAAAAAACTAAGATATCTACACGGGTACAACAGCAATTACAAGGATGAACTTTATTTTGGTTTCTCCAGTTTTCCCATTAACTCCCCGTGTCTGCACCAGGGTCCTATTTAGGGACCGTGTCCTCCAACCTGGGACAGTTTCTCAGTCTTCCCTTGTCTCGAATGACAGGCCTGGCTGTCATCCAGCACGCCAAGGGTCCCACTAAGTTGAGAAATGGAAGTCCTTCCAGATTCTACAAATTGTTTTTAAGTGTATTTATTCATTTTGAGAGAGAGAGAGAGATAGCAGGGTAATGGCAGAGAGAGACAGGGAGAGAGACAATCCCAATCTCTGTGTTAACAGTGTGGAGCCTGACTCGGGGCTCGAACCCATGAACCATGAGATCATGACCTAGGCGGAAAATAAGAGCCTGACGCTTCACCGACTGAGCCACCCTCCTTCTGGATTCCAGCTGAGAACTAACTAACAGTCCTGGGGACACTACTCTGCCACTGTGGGTGGTTTTACGGTTGTCACAAAAATAAAGTTAAAACCTAGGGGTTGCCATTTAGCTGATCATCTTAACTTGGAGATGCCACGCTGGAAATTTTATATGAATCAGTTCAAATCTCTAAGAAACTACATAACGTCCTGTCTCCCAGCTTAGGCTGGTTGGTATTAAAGTTCTAAAGAAGGTACTAACGATACCCTTTTTTGCATTTTGTGATCTTTCTGCGTCATTTTTCGTCTCTCTTGAAGCCAGGAAATACCATTAGGATGGTACCGGAGAAAAGCACAGGGAATAAACAGACGGGGATGTTTCCGGCATGTTGCCCTGGCCCAGCCTCTCCCACATGCCAAGCAGCCTTCAATGCCTACCCATTCCCTACAGGTAACAGACCCTGAACATTTCCGATGCTACCAGTATGCAAATTAAGCTATGTGATTAACTAGGTTCCTTGATAAAGGAACAGAGCTTGAGGACCCCCTGTGCCATGGGGCAGTTCACTTTCAGCAGGGAACAGGGTCCCGGGTCGTCCCCAGATCGCTGCTGGGTAATGACTCGGGCTGCCGTGCATTCCTTCCTGTGTGCACCGTGCACTGTCTTTTTCCCCCCACCACCTGCCTCTGTCCCACCTCAGGCCCTTGCGGAACAAAGCGTCCCAATTTGTACAACGGAAAACACATCCGGAGGGCCCAACTTTCACAGAACGAGGGTCCAGTGCCTGGATCGCCAAACAGCCTTCTCACTCCTAGGGAAAGTGTGGTAGGCGTGTGTTCGGCCTGGAGGGAGGACTCGGCCAGAGGAGGTGTTAAGCATCCGTGAGGATGTGTCATTAAAGCTGGGGCCCCCTTCCCACCCTCCACCCCCTCTAAGAAAATATCCCTGCAGTTTCTCAGTTAGGCAGTGTGGGCTGTCTACCAATAACCAGACTGTATTTTATGTCGATCTATTGGAAGGTTCCTGTCTCTGGTTACTCCTGTATGATTGCTTCCTGCCCCTAAGGTCAGCCCAGACACAGGCAGCGACAATTCCTCGGGGACAGGAAGGGTTGAACAGGAAACGCTCACCTGGGCCTTAATTACTCTGTCCACTGATCACGACAGTGACCGCCGCTCCCGGTGGCCACGGGGCACGCGCTCTCGTAACTGCTGGCTTTACGCAGAGAAGAACATCGCCCAGAGGCCAAAAGCAAAAGCTTGTGCCTTCTTCAAGTGTCAACCAGTTCCAGAGCAGGGAGATACCCAAGGGAGCAAAGGTCAAGCGGGTTAACTTGATGTGACCACACCCACCCATCTTCAGGGCATCCAAACGCCGAGCAAGTAAGTGGTGAGGTTAAGACCACTGCCAAAGGAAGCTTACCCCCAAGGTCATTATTCCATTGTCTCAAATGGGATCTCACCCGGTTGTGAGGGTCCTTAGCTCCCTGGCACACATCCTAATTCACAGAAGCTTTACTCGGAGTTCCGGGCAGGGCCCAGGGCGACAGGGAAGGGCACCAGACTGTCCCCCTGGGAAAGAAGGGCCAGCACGCAGATACCCCAGATCTTCCCACTCAGAGATCCTGGGGCTTGACACGCTGAAGCCTGTGTCACAACCCTGCCGATGTTGCTGAGGGTCTCGGCACATTTGCTGCAGCTCGGATTCCTTGGGAAGCAACCCCAGCTACCCACACGGGGTGTTTTGGGCTCTCAGGAAGGAGCCAGCACAGAAACCCCGCTCTGGGTCTGCCTAGGTGTGCTCCGATCCCCTTCTGGATCCCCTTCCCGAAGTGCTTCCTGCATTCCTGGGCAGGGGGGAAGGTGGGGGAGGCAGGAGGTGGGGGGTGGTGAGTGGGGAGGGACGTTTCCCAAAAAGTGCATCCCTAAGGGGAAAGTCACACGCAGGTGCCTACTTGTGAACCAGATTGCTATACGCAGTGCAAAGGTAGCCTGTAACAGTTTTGGGAACAGACAAGTCCACAGTTAAATAAAAATAGGGGTGCACTGGTCAGTTTGAGATTTGTCTGCGAGGCCAGTGAACCATCCACGTGTGGCTCCCGGAAGCTCCCTCTGTGTGCTGCATCCCCGGGGAAAACTCTCGATGCCCTCTGGCACCGAGCGTGCGTTTCCGCGGCTCCTTCTGCGAAAAATAAACAAAAATCTATCGAGACGGCGTGTCTCCTTTTTCTGGGCTCACGTATGTTCCTGACCGGGTTTTCCAGGAACGTATATCCTCGAGAAGCACTCAGATCTGAGTCGATGTGAGGCTTTTCAGTTCTTACTTGTTTGCAGTTCAGCACGGACAAGACTGTGAGAGGATTCTGCTAATTTCTCACCTGAGAAATAGAACAAGAATTGCCCGGCAAGCCTCGAACCGTCTGAACATGTAATCGGTCCCTCATTTACGACCGAATAAAATGTGGGACGGAGCCTCCTCATATCCCGTGAAATCTCCATGTTTACGAGGAGTGGCAAGTCTGGGACGTGTCCTAATTCTGTGAAGGCATCATTCCAGAGGCCCCCTGAGTTGTTCAGAACAGACAAGAGGGCAGTCAACCCTCGAGACCAGCGGGAACAGCAGCACCTCCCTCTGCTGCGTCCAGACGGCCAGGGAGGGCAGGGGTCCAG